GGAACCATTAAAAGTTAAAGTAAGAATTTGGAACGATACAGTGAGCAATCTCACTTTAATGGCACTTGGTTAGCGTATAATGTATTAATTAATTATAATTGGCGTATAATATATTAATTAATTATAATATAACTGTAATTTTTTTGCTTACCGATTAGTAATATTGTTATTATTAATTATTAGTTAATTAATTCAATTTTAAAATGAGGTAAAATTTATTTTTCTACACCAAAACTACTCATTTCTTAAAAGATTTTCTAAAAAATGTCTGAAATTCAATTTAAAATTTGTTCACAATGCAATAATTTGTATTATAAAATTGTTTGGTTAAAGTTTGATTTGAAAAAAATAACGTTTGACTTTCTATAAAACTTTTAGAGTTGCTGAATTAAATCTAAATTACTCATAAACATTTGTATAAAGTATTAAGAACGCTTTCGAAGATTAATTTGACAAATACTGAAAATATTCATCAAATATATGGTTTTTTAAATAAAATACTAATCATATATATAATCTTTTAAATATTATTAATTAATTAATATTGTATTTTATTTAGTGGCAAACAAAACTATCACTTCCGTTAAACAATGCAAGTTTTTTTAAATGAATTTAAACGACACATAAATGTTTAAATGTTTAAGTTAGACTTAAGTACTTAATTTACTTCTTAAGTTTAACAACCAAACTTGCAAACAAATCTTTACTTGGAATTTAACCATTAAATTGCTCGCAAAATTTCGTGTAATCTTTATTTTTTAAGATTATTAAATTTTCTTTAAATTTAATAGTCTAAAATTTAAACAATTAAGTTTAAGAAAAAATTTAAATTTCGTGTAATATAATTTTAATTTTTTTAAGATTATTGAAATTTCAAATCAAACTTTAACCAAACAATTTGATAGCAAAAATTATTGCATTGTGAACAAATTTTAAATTAAATTTCACATACTTTTTAGGGTTATGTAAACAATAATAATAATTTTAGCAGGAAATATTTGCAAAGTAAAATTAATTACTCAGTAAAACTAAATCAGTGACCAATAATTCAAACTAGAAAGTAACTTTTTTAAATTCTTTTTCAATATTTTCATAAATTTTAATAAAAATTGAATTTCAGGTTCGTCTGCACCTGAAATTTTACTATCAATTATTGAGGTTAATAATTATTAATAACATTTTTTCAAACTTCATTTCTGCTTCATTGTCATTTGTCATAGCTTTTTTTAAACTGTAATTGAAAGTGAAAAGAAATTTATCATCCGCAATATTTATAAATTATCAATATTTTAATAAATGTTTGCAAAATGTGAAACTTTTGCTAACTTTTTGTTTGTCAGGAAGTGCTTTTTTTTTGCTTTGATTAACAGATGTAACTTGCAAAACCAATTTATTATTTTCAAAAAATAAATTAAAAAAAGATAAGCGTAAATAAGTGAAATAAAATAAATATATTAAGTTTTAGTACTGTAACATTTTTTAGGTAATAGGGAAAGGTTTTAATGCGGGTGACTTGGGACCAAATACAATTGTTGGTTCTGCAGCTTTTAACTTATTTATGATAATTGCAATTTGTGTAATAGCTGTGCCAAGTAATGAAATTCGTCGACAGAAACATTTAGACGTATTTTGTGTCACAGCAACTTGGTAACAATTATACATTTTATTTCTAAAATATTATAGTAAATTTTATTTAGTTTTTTTTTGTTTTTTGAAAATAAAGTGCAGGTAGCAAAACGAATTACTATGCAGCTTACTTTTTAAAATACTTTTTGCACAAATTTTTTTTTTAAATTTTTTCGCGCACTAAGTTTTGTAAGAAGTTTTTCGCGCACTAATTTTGCGCACTTTTTATTGTTCCAAATACAAACGTTATTTTTGCTAATATCAATATCTTATTAAATCAAAGTTAAAGGTTATTAAAGTTTATCAAATATTGAACTTAAATGATTTTTAATTTTAACAAATATCAGATTAGTAAGATAAAACAAATGTGCTGTTTTTTTTTTAGCTTTGTGAAATTAAAATAATTTGAAAAAAAATTATTTGCCACAATTTTTTTAGGTCTTTATTTGCTTATATCTGGATGTACTTGATTTTATCAGTATTCTCACCAGGTGTAATTGAAATATGGGAAGGTTTATTAACATTCCTATTTTTTCCAATTACTGTATTCACTGCTTATGTAGCCGATATTAAAATTATACAGGTTAATACTCATTTTTGAATATACTGTATAGTTTGTAATTAATTGAAATTTGTTGATTCATCTATTAATGACAAATGATAAACATTACAGATTTTTTGTTAGTATGATTTACTCAAAATTTATCGTAAATTTACCCATATTTTAAACTTTTAAACTTTTCAAATTTTCCTCCAACTTTTTTATTTTTTAAAACTTTCATTTTTTTAAGTTCTTAAAAATCTATACATATTAGTAATTGCTGCATGGAAGAATTTGTTTTATGGATGCTCCAATTTTATACTAAAGTGAATATTTTGATTTTTTTGTAGCTAAATTTTTAACTTTAAGAAACGCTTCTTACCTCACCGATATCGAAGAACAGCTCACGGATTAATTGCTACTGAGGGAGAAGAAATGAAAATTCTGGGGGCAAATGGTGATATTAACGTTGTTAGTATTTAAAATATACTTCTTTCCTGAAAAAAAATCCAACTTCTGATATTATATGATCTTCTGATAACATTAAAGAATTCAAGCAAAATGTGCAAAATTTAAAAATTTAAATGAAACTTTTAAAAGTCAACAATTTTACTTTACTTGTTTTGTGCATAATTATTTATAGCTTACATTTGCGTTTGTATTTTATTTGTGAAGATTTAAAATTATGCAAATTTTAAATTCTTTGCAAGCTCTTTAAGAATGAAAATGTTGATCCAGCAGTGAGAGCTTTTGAAGAAAATCGAAAAATGTTTATTGAAATTATGCGCGAAATCAGAAAAAAGAATCCTCAAATCAGCCCGATTGAATTACAAAAACAAGCCGAATATGAAGTGATCAATCGCGGGCCAAAATCTCGCGCCTTTTACCGGTAAATACAAAATATATTTTATTATCTAGTAAAATTGATCTCAAATAATTAAAAAATCGGAGTAAAAAATTCAAATATACACAAATGGTCTACAGTTTGAGTAATTATTAAGTAAAGATGAGTTTAAATTGTGGGAAAATTTTTTACTAAGAATAATTTCAGTGAAATAAATTGAAAAAAAAAAGTTGTAACATTGTAACAGTGCAGAAATAAGATGATTTCCGAATTTATATATATCATATTGAATTTAATTAGTAAAAATAATTCTTAACAATGAAAAGTTATAGAATAAAAGTAATTTCGTGGTAAAAAAGTAAAAAATTTTTAATTACTTTAAATGATGAAAAAATTACGCATCTGTTGTGATGAATTTGTTATGAGTAGTTCAGAGTTCAAGCAACTAGACGATTGGTAGGTGGTGGTGATGTTATCAGAAGACGTATTGATAAAGAGCGTCATAAGTGTACTGAAGCTGTAAGTTTCACGTAACCTATATTTATTTTAAAAATTTTCATCCGTAAAGTGCGCAAAAACTATGAAAAAGATAAAAATTTGTTAACCTTTTTTAAAATTTTTACAAATTGATAAGAATTATAATAAATTGATGTGTGGTTTCCATTCACAAATATTTTCTTTCATCAAAATTTGACGAAAAATATTCGTCACGATAATAAATATGCAAATTATGTCTAAATTGAAAAATTAGCTAATGTTTTATTATAATTATCAAACTGAAAATTAGTTAATCCAATTACGATATGTAAGTCAAGCTATAAAGTTTAAGAAGTGATTAAGTCATCTACTTACTTACTAATCTAGTGACTTACTAACTTATTTTAAGCTAGTCCAAGAGCATGAAAAGCAGTCTAGAGCACATACTAGTAGAATATTTTTCGATCCAGCACATTATACAGTACTTGAAAATGTTGGCACATTCGATGTGATCATCGGTCGAGATGGTGGCCCAAAAGATCTCACTATTATGGTTGATTACTGTACTGAAGATGGAACTGCTAATGCCGGAAGTGATTATGTTCCAGTTAAAGGAACCCTAATATTTTATCCAGATGATAAAATAAAAGTTTGCAGCCTTATTCAATTCAACTATTTATTGCAATAATGTTCAGTTTAGCATATGATAATTATAATTGGTGAAACATAATTAATTAATACCACTAATGTTTGAAATTCATTCAAGTACATGCTTCTTCCCGTAAAGTATAACTTTTATAACAATGATAACAATAATAATAACAATAACATTTATGATGATAGTAAACTATTATTATGATAATTAAGAATATATATACTTCTACGAATACAAATTTAAAAAATAGCTTAATTTTGAAAAGTTTTTTTTTCAAAAAGAAGTAATATTTGCAGAAAGTAAGTATAGAAATAACTGATGACGATGTATTTGAAGAGGATGAGCATTTTTATTTTCATTTAAAAAATTTACGAGTACGAACTAAAGATGGATTGGTGTTAGATCCATTGCAACTTGGTGGCGTACCGTTAGCTGTGCTTGAAATGCCTTCTACTGCAACCATTATGATTTTGGGTCTATTTCATTTGCATAAATGCTAATTTTCATACTTATTTATGCGCATTGCATAAAATTTCTAAATAAAATTTTGTGCAAAAATATATAAAAACTTATTAGTTTTGTAGATGATGATCATGCTGGAGTATTCTCTTTTGAACATGATCATTTTCAAATTGTTGAAAATTGTGGTTTTATGTCGCTTAAAGTACAACGGAGTTCAGGATGTCGTGGTAAAGTTGTTATCCCATATAGGTTAGTTAGTTTATGCAAATTTTAACGAAAATGCAGATCACTTATCATTCGAATAAAATTCGGTTTTTATTTCAGTAAAGTGAAAAAAATTGTTATCGTAAATTTTTTTGATATAACTTTTCAATTTCTAAATGCGGGAAATTTCAATCTCTAGTGCGGGAAATTAAGAGTTTTTCTTCATTTTTAAAACTGACAAATTAGGAATGGAAAGATTTTTGGACAACAGCAATCAACACATCGTTTAATTCAAAAATCTCTAACTCAATTTCCTACAATTGCTATAAAATCTCTTGCACTGAAAAGAAACAATAATAGTTATAATTAAAATTGCTTGCCTCCAATTCAAAGTATATATAAATTCAAATTTAATTATCATCAACTTTACTAATAGATATTCTTCTGTTTGCTTTCAAAAAACAACGCAACATTTATTTTAATTTTATCCATTATCTTTTTTGATAAATTTTCACAGTTATCATTGTAGCATTTTCGTAGTTTACTGACTGTTTTTTGCGTATTTTCAATAAATGACTTTAATATCATTGATAAGTTAAGTGACTTTAATATCACTGATAAGTTTTATCACTGATGAACAAGAACTACAGAACAGTGGATGGCACTGCCTTCCGAGGTGTGCATTATGATTTTCATGAAGGTGAAGTAACTTTTGAAGATAATCAAACTGAGTAAGTCAATTTTAAGATGTTTTACCTATTAGCTCTTGAAATATGAGAAATAGACATTGAAATGAAGCTGGATTTTGAAGGTAATGGAACAAATTTTCATTAATTATATATAATATTCATATTTTTTATAGCAAATTTATTCAATAACTTTTACAAAATTTACAGTATAAACTATAAAATTGAGACTTTTTTCATTTTATACTTGAAAGTTTCTAAATATTTTTGTGGATATATCGTAGAGGATTTATCGAAATCGTTGTAATGGATACCGAGCAGTACGAGCGTATGGATTACTTCTTTATAGAACTTGGAGAACCAATTTGGGTCAAAAAAATGTCAGGCAAGTAAAAAATATCTAGTTACTAATTTGATAGTGTTATTTGTTTTTGTCTTTTTGTCTTTTGACCTGCATGAAATACTGTAATGAATGCAATAAGTATTGCGTTAATATTTTTTAAATTCTTTTTAATTTGTATGATATGCAAATTTACTGTGTTGTGTGAAAATGTTGTGCAGAATATTGTGATTTTTGTCATATCAACGATTTAAATCATTTAGTATTGTTTGTTACTGCTGAAGAATGCTGGAATGCTATACGTTAATATGGAAGAGTAATTTCAATACAGGCAAATGAAATATATCTACTAGTGGATGGATAAATATGAAATTTCCAAACTTTTAAAAAAATATCATGATTTTACGATAATCGTTAGTGTTAAGTAGATTTTTTAAACAAATTAAGGAAGATTTTTAATTTAAAATATCAAAAAATAGGATTCAGAGTTACGTGTAGAAATGAAGGTTGACGTAACAGTGTTTGATACAGATTTGCGCAAGGTTCAAGATCGTTACTTAAATCGGTTGGAAAGAAAAAAGAATGCATCGATGGGCAATTTGAACCAAGGTGGCGACTCAACAAGAACAAATAATAATGATAGTATTGGTGATAAAGGTACTCAATATATCTCGAGCAATCTCTACTAACTTTCAGATTGTGCGATTGTTTGAAACTTACGTGTAACTTTTGCTTTTTATAATCTTAACAAAATTTAAAATGATTGAATTTTAATTTTAAACAAGTCAAATTATGAATAGATTTAGCTCTTATTATTAATTAGTAAGACAAAAAAAGATTCATTACCAAAAATGAATATATCTTTCCCGCACAGAAAATAATTTCCCTCGCAAAAAGTAATTTCTCTCATAACTGAACACAATCAAGTATGAAAACTTTTTCATAGATTAGATTAAATTTTTTTGCATAAACAATAGTTCGGCAAGAAGTGTGAACTTGACGTTGTACATTTTTTTGCATGAAAATTGTTTAAGAGATAAATTCTAAATTTCAGGCTTTGTTTTCAGTATTTTTTAGCATAACTAATAAAATAATAAATAAAGTACAAGTTTTGCATTAGACATTTTTTTGCATATGTAACAATTTAAAATTTGAATTTGAAAATTTAATTTTTGGTTATAAATGAAAAAAAAAATTGCATGAAAATTATGTTGTGCAGTGTGCATGTTGTTTTATTTTGATTTGTTTGGTATTAGTTTTATTTCAGATAAATTAAAAATAAAAACATTATTTCTCATGTCACCACCATCAGAATCATGTTTATCCGGCTTAAATAGTGCTTCTTCATCACAAAATTTACAAGTTACCGATCGTTTCAAACGACGTATGAGTTCTTGGATTATTAACAATCAAGATTATGAAGGTTTTTCTTCTGATCAGTCTTCCAGCATTTTTTACTTTGTGCTATTGCTTGCGTATTTAAAAACTTGTACGTGCTATGAAAGTGGAGTAATCTCGAGAAGAATCATAATGCATGCTAATTAATTCATTTGATTGCATGAAATAAATCCCAATAAGTCATTTTTTTTTTGTTAATTATTAATAATTAATTTTTACATAGGATTCCAAGAGTTGCTCGAGATTTTAAACCTAAACTTTTTTCAATAATTCAGTGCAAAATTTTTTGCTATAAAAAGTTTTACTTATTTTTTTTAACTAATAATCAATTTTAATTATAGCAAAAAAAAAGATTCATTGCCGAAAAAAATCATAACTTGGGTATAAATAAATCGTTTTATAAAATAACTTGAAGGTTAAGTGTAAATTGTTTTATAAAGTAGTTTAAAAGATTTACTTAAACTGTGGTTATTTTTTATTTATTTTTGTTCTGCTTATAATTTACTTAGCATTACTTATTAATTAATTAACTAATTAATTAGTTCTTAGAATAATTTGGTAATCTCTTTAAAATAATAAAAGATTTATTTTAAAATTACTTTATAAAACAATAGAAAACTGTTTTGACAGTTAAATATAAATTGTTTTATTTTTTTAATGTAAATCCAAATATTAAATAAAAACGTATTCTTTAACAATTAGTCATAAACTTTTGCAAATATAAAATTGCAATAATTAATTTGTTAATATTCATTAAATGCGCTAATTAATTAGTACTGTTTAAATGTACTTAATCAGAAAACTTCTTTACTAATAATATTATAATTTAAAGTTGTTATACAATTTTTGCAGTAACAAAATATGAAAAATATTTAAAATTGCATGCAATTCGTATATTGTGATTTTTTGTA